TAAATCTTAACCACGTTGTACCTCCTCCACCAGCACCACCTGAGTCCAAGAAAACGATGGTCTTTCACCTGAACTATCACAAATGCTAACTCGCTTACAGGCTTTCTTGACCCCATCTGTTTTCCACAAAACAGAAAGAGTAAGCATTTTGAAATGCAAATGACATTATGTCACTTTCCCCACTCTCCCCCTCTCATGGCTTCCCATCTCACTCAGAATAAACTCCCCAGTCCTCACCATAGCCGAATGCCAGCACGCTGGGCCTGCTGCTGCCTCTCCAACCTCACTTCCAGTCCTCCTGCCCGCCCTCTCGACTGCAGCCGCGACAGCCTCCTTGCTGTTTCTTGAACTTGCCAAGCACATTACCAGCACCTGGCTTCAATAATGATCCCATTCAGGCCCCTGTGTCACCTGGAGAACTTTTATTCCCCTTCACCCTGTAGGAGTCCCATTCCTGGTGACCACTCTTTGCTTCGAGACCCACATGGAAGCCTTGAGTTTCACACATGTTTGATACAGATTCCAGAGAGGTATATCTTGTATTTCTATGCATTTTTTCTTGTTATTTTGTATCTATTATTGCTATGTGTTTGAAAAAAAAGAGATATCTTCATGGGGACATCAAAAAGAAAAGCCTTTAAGCCTATAATTTTCTTTTGTGCTCACTGTTACCTGTGCACATATTTTTTTTGCTTCATTTTCCTCCCTACATAATGTGTAATTTCAGTTTTGATTTCCTCTAAGATTCATGGGTTAGCTAGGAGATATTTTCTTGATTATACATCAGTTAAGATTTTTAATGGTTATTATCCCCCATTGAGTTCTAATTTTTGTATTATTATTAAAGAATATGGCCTATATAATTTTTCTCATAATTGCAAGATCAAAAGGAAAAAATATATTCTCAATGTTTAAGGAATAAAGTTCTGTAGTTGTTAAATGAAATTTATTGACTGTATTATTCAAATCCTCTATATTACTAATTTTTAAAATCTATTTTAAAACCCACTTCTGAAACAAATACAGTAAAACTTCCCCCCCATGAGTATATACATTTTCAAATTCTCCTTGAGTTGTTAGGAGTTTTTTTTTTTTATGCAGTTGTCTGCTATGTTGTATGTTGTATAAAGTTTTATGACTGTTATATCTTCTTTGTAGGTTGCATCTTTTATTATCACATAATATTTTTCTTTGTCTTGTTTAATACATTGTCCTTGAATTTGCTTTGTCTGACACTGCCACTTCTGCTTTCTTTTTGCTTGCCTTTGCACAGTCTGTTGTTACCTAGCTCTTTATTTTTTAACCTTTTTCTTTTTTTCTTGGTGAGAAAGATTGGCCCTGAGCTAACATCTGTGCCCATCTTTCTCTATTTTGTATGTGGGATGCCGCCACAGAATGGCTTGATGAGCGGTGTGTCAGTCCGTGCCTGGGATTCGAACCTGTGAACCCTGGGCCACTGAAGCAGAGTGCACAAACTTAACTACTATGCCACTGGGCCAGCCCCTACCTTTTTCTTTTTTTAATGTGTGTTTTATTGAGATAATACATAGTTGGATTTTATTTTTTAGCCACATCTGACAGTCTCAGATTTTTAATAGGGGAATTAATTCTGTTCATATTTTTGTGTTAACAAATATACTTAAGGTTTAGAGCTTCAGTGTTATTTTGTGTTTGTTATCTTTACCAGTTGGGATGTGCTTGACCATAAGTAACAGAATACACGACTAAGAGTTGCTTAATTAAATAAATCCTTTGTATTATATTCTCATAGTTCATTTAATAATTATAGAACTTTATTCCTTGAAGTGCTGTATTTTTCTCAAATGACAAGAAATCTGGAGGTGTACTTCGAGGGGCACTATTGGCTTAGCCACTCGACAAGATCATTGAGGCTCCATTTCCTTCTGTCTTTCTGCTTACTCATCCTTAGCTTTTGTGGCTTTCTTCCTCATGGTTGCAAAAGTCTTCCAACAACTCCTGTGATCACTTCTTCATTGCAGGAGGAAGAAGGAGGTGAGGTAAAAGAGCAAAGGGTGAAGGGGTTTCTCCTAAGGAGTTTTCACTTTTAGTTTGGAGAAGGAAAGCCCTTCCCTGGGACTTCTGCCTACATCCACTTCGTCAGGAATGGGGACATCCGGTCACTCCTAGACTGATCACTTGCCAACGAGAATAATATTACGTGATGGGTTTAGAACAATTTTATTTGTCCTTTGAGGCTGGGGTGGAAACTTGCCTCTCCTGAAACTGAGGGATCTCTGTTGTTCCCTGAACAAATTGGAGTTTTCTGATCAGGGAGGAAAGTGGGCTGGAATGGATGGTGGGTAGGTAACTGCAGTGTCTGCTGTAACAGCTACATATTTTTGTTCTTTTTTCTTTTCCCTTTTCATATTTTTGCAGGATTGGTAAGCCTCTCAGTATTCCCTTTCCCCCACTATTAATTTGGAAGTTTTATAATTCTAACAGTGGTTGCCTCCTTGTTTCTATCTAATCATAATTAAACCTGTGTGTATCTATAACTATACTGCTTTTAACATGCTAAAAAATAACAATGTCCTCCTATATTAGTCAGGGGAATTAATGCTGCCTTCTGCAATAGATAAACCCTGGAATTTCAGTGGATTAATACAAGGAAGGTTTATTTCCTGATTACACCACAGTTTGATGTGGATGGGGTAGCTCTTGTGTGGCTCGCTTTGAAACACTGACTCATGGATCAGAACGCTTTTCTCTTGCAATTCCACCATCTTGGAGTCACCTATTTCCAGCTGGGTGGATGAGACACAGAATGTGGAAACGGCACACCGACTGCAAAAGCCTCAGCCTGAAAGTGGTACAGTCACTTCCCCCGACATCCACAGACTAGAATTCAGTCATATGGCCCCAAGGAACTGGAGGGAAGCTGAGAGAAGTAGTCATCTGGTGCGCTCAGGGAGAGGAAATGGGGTGCTGGACATAGCATGCTCGCTGTGACAGACTGTCATTCTGGTCACCCACACATTTGATTCTTCTCCTCCATATGAATACACTCACCACCTGCTTAAGGGGGGCACTCTCATGTCTCATTCAGTCACTGCATCCAGCCCAAAGTCCACAGTCTGCAAGGCTTCTGCATTAGTCTCTATAAAGTCTGTATCTGGCTGAAAAGACAGATCATCTAAACACCCCTCACCCCTTTAAGAGTCAACGTGCAGCGGTGGAGCAGGGTCAGTATACCCACCGCGGAAAAGAAGGCGGGTGCGCACCCCACTCAGGCACTAGTCTAGAGCACTGTGACGTCCCCTGCCTGGCAGTGAAGGGACGGCCTTGACCAGATGCTGACTGGCCCTCGAGGGGCTCCTCCTGTTCACTGTTCCCTGGGCCTCATCTGAATGAGTGTTGAGGATCACGCTTTCCTTGGACCAGCATAGCCTTTGAAACCTGCCTCCTGTTCATTGAGGTTGGGTACCCGAGGGCTGTTTAAGTCTTGAACAATCAAAGGCTTTTTTTAGTCCAGACTGAAAACCTCAGGAGGCTTCTGATGTGTTTGCTTCCCAGTAACAACAGCTAAAATTCTTTTCGGGACATATTCCACAAATTGACTGTACTTCTGCAACTCTTTACCCCATGTCTCTGCCTTTCAACTGAAGGACATCTACCTTAGGCTCTTTGAAAAATAGTTGTGAGAGATCACACTCAATGTGTTTGCATTAGCCAGGCTCTGCTGAGGAGCAGAGACAAGGATGGGATTAAACACACTAGGGTTTTGTTAAGGAAATACCTGTGAGAGAAAGAGGGCAGAGAGCCGGCGGAGTCTGGGAGAGCCATCACACCGAGACGCAGGTCTGACCTTGAGTGAAGGAGCCGGGAAGGAAGGTTGGATGGAGGTATTATAGCAGCCATGCAGTCCACGGAAGGTCTGCCAAGGCCTCAGGGAAGCTGTCCATCAGAGAAGTCCCGTGTCTCCCAGGAGCGAACCTGCCACGCTCAGTCTGAGGCTGGGTGCCGCCTCTGAAAGCCCCGCCTTGGGCGAACCCCGGAGCAGGGAGCTGGAGTACTCAGTCATTGTGCTCCCTGTGGTTGGACGTCTGCGCAGCACATCCTCATGGCCGCCATGGTGCTCTCTGCCCTAGGTCACCTGACTCACTTTGGAAGTTTTACTGGGCTCTGTCATGCAAAACCTTTAAAAATCCCATCTCTTGCAATTTGGGCCCTAGAAAGAGGTGGTTTTTCCAAGCCTACAAAGTCCCAAATTTCTGTATTCTCTCTATTCTCTTTCATTTCTACTTGCAAAGCACTCAATTCTTTCTTGAACTCATTTCTTTCTCTTAACACCTTGCCAAACACAGCTGCTAGCAACCAACACACAGTGCCCACGTTCTATTTTCCAATCTCCTCCCTTAGAGTGACAAGTTCAGAAGGCATGAAGGTGTCTGCCTTTTGGGTTGGTGTCTGACAATTTTACCAAATGTTTTGCTCCTGCGTCTCATGGATCTCCAGCCATTCAGCCTGCTAAACCTTACTCACGGCCCAACTGCTAAGGCAATGACACAGTTTATGTTTCTGTCTCAGTAGTACCCCACTTTGCGGATAGATTTCCATTTTAGTCATGGTATCATGGAATCACTTGCAGTAGGCAAAGTGAAAAATCTCAGCGTCTTCACGCAACAGGGGTTTGTTTCTTGCTCATGTTACAGCTGATGGAGGTCAGGCAGCCGCCCAGGGCCTTCATCTTGCAACTCCACCGTTTCCAATTCCTTGTTTCCAGACAGCAGATGGGGAAGAGAGAAAGAGAGAGAGAAGGCTCAGGGCTCCTAACTGGCTTGGCCCCGGAGCCACACGGTCACTCCTTCAGACAGTGCTGCTCTGTGTCTGGTGTTCTGTGCTGCAGGCCTCCAGCCGCGGCCGCCAGTGCCGGCCCTGGACACCTGCTCCAGCAGGCTGACTTGGCTGCTGCACTGCTCACTAGAGGCAGTGGCAGGGAGAGAGTGCAGGCCCGTGTCTCTCTGGGATCCTTTCTGTAGATGTCAGCGTTCCGCAGAGTGATGTGAGGCTGTGCACCAGCCCACCGGGGTCATTCCTTACTAATGAGAACTGGGGCCTGTTTCTTTTCCTCCCTCATTCCTCCTCCTGCTGTGAGGCAGCGAGCGACAAGCACATCCAGTGGCTCCAGGGGGCGGACGGCGAGGTCTGGGTCTGGATCATGGGAGAAGGCCCCGGCGACAAGCCCTACGAGGAGCTCTCGGAGCAGCTGATGGCGGAGCGGGCGCGGCTGCAGGCGCAGAGGGAGGCCGAGGAGCTGTGGTGAGCGGCGGGTGCGGGGGCCCGGACGCGCGGCCTGGGGTGCCGTCCGCTCCCCTCCCCGCGAGCGTGGTCGCTGTGAGCATTTCTGCCGCAAACATTTTCCCCGCTTTAATGATGGGCCGTCAGGCAATTGGCTGTAAAAGATAGCAGAGACTGGTTGACAGTGTCTGCCTCGGTCGTTTCATTTCTCTGTTGACGAAGTCCTCGCAGTCACTCCGTTGGACGTGACGGAAGTCTCAGCCCTCCTAACGGTGCGCACAGCGAGGGTGCGGGTGGTGCTGGTCTGCAGTCAGCAGCGTCCGCTCCCGCGGCCACGACACCGACGCGTCCTCGGGCTGGCGGGGGCGGCTGCCCTGGAGCGCTGGGTGCCCCGCCGCGCGGCGGAGGGCAGCCCGGCCTGCAGAGGCCCCTCGTGGAGCCGGACGAGTGCGCGGGACGTGCCGGCCACACACGGAATAAAATCGGTTATTTGCACAGCATCACCATGAATCTACATACACACGTTTTAAATGTATTCAAATATTTTGTATTTCGCTATAAAGTCTTTAATTTTGTTATTCGTTTTTTTCATGTTTCATTATGTCCTTTTTAATTAATGTCCCTCTTTTATTTTTCCAGATTTTATCTTTTACGGCAAATTGCCTTACGGCCAATGAGTTATGTGGAAAAGATGCTTCCAGCAAAGATGCTTGTGGGGAAACTACCCAGACCCCTTGGGGTGGGTCTGAGCTGGAGGACAGGGGTGGGTGGAGGGAGCAGGTGCAGGCGGCTGGCCGGCTGGTCTGCGCTCCGCTGAGAACAGGTGACCCAGCATCAGGGTCTTGCCTCAGGTGGACCTTGAGGGTTGGAATCCTGGCTCCACCAATGAGAAGTGAGCTGAACTGGGGCCTCAGTTTTCACATCTGTAGTGTGGGCCTCACAACGCCCTTCTCCATGGGCAGAATTCAGATTCACCGAGATGGTACATACAGAGCTTTCGTGTTTCCCTCAGGGGGTTGCCCGTGGGACAGGAGAGCCTTCACTTCCTTATCCGCTTGTCCTCCTCCTGTTACCTGCAGTTTTCATACAAGATGGACAGTGGAGCCCCCAGTGAGACTTGGAGTCGGACTTCTTTCATAAACAACTTGCAACATTTTTTTGCCAAACTTAGAAATCCATATAAAATTTACTCCAACATTTTCCACCCAGTTTTTAATGATAGTGTTATTTTGTTTTTGTGAGGAAGATCAGCCCTGAGCTAACATCCAATGCCAATCCTCCTCTTTTTGCTGAGGAAGACTGGCCTTGGGCTAAAATCCGTGCCCATCTTCCTCTACTTTATATGGGACGCCACCACAGCATGGCTTGCCAAGTGGTGTGTTGGTCCATGCTCAGGATTGAACCTGCGAACCCTGGGCCAATGAAGTGGAGCGAGTGAACTTAACCACTATGCCACCAGGCCGGCCCCTGATGATAGTGTTTTAATTGTAAAATTGTTAACAACAACCCACACTCACCACCTAAGATGACCTGGGTGAGCATTTTGGCAACACATGCTTTGTAAACTGCTTTATTCACATCTTGATAAATTGATTAATATAGATCCACAACATCATTTAAGATTACTGTATTCCATTACATGAGAAACCCAACTTACTGGTCCTGTTAGTGGACATTTAGGTTCTTTGCCATTTTTTATGTTATTAAAATCCTCTAATAAACATCTTCTACCTACACTTTTGTAAACTTGAGTGAGAAATGGGATTTCTGACTCTTTTTTCCTGGCTTCCAGAACAGTTCGACTGATCTACACCCCCATACAGGAGAGTGCCTATTTCTCCTTACTTTTGCCAACATTCAATTTATTTAATTTTTTTTTTTTACTTTTTTTTTGCTGAGGAAGTTTCACCCTGAGCTAGCCCGGAACTAACATCTGTGCCAATCTTCCTCTACTTCATATGTGGGTCACCGCCACAGCATGGCTGACAAGTGGTGTAGATCTGCACTCGGGATCCTAAACTGTGAACCCCAGACCACCGAAGCAGAGTGCATGAACTTAAGCACTACACTACTGGGCCGCCCAGTTCCTAGTTTCTGTTTGAAGTTCTGTTGTTATGTGGTCCTTCAGTTTCCCATAGGAGCTTATACCTGCTGCTGTTCTCTTGCAAGGAGACAGAAGGAGGCAGAGATCACCAAGAAGTTCCGGGATGCTCTGGCCAATGAGAAAGCCCGGATCTTGGCAGAGAAGTGGAAAGTGGAGATAAAGGACCGGAAGGCTGCGAAAGTTTTGGAGGAGCGCATCCATGAGGAATTCAAGGTGAGACAGTGCATGAGGCATCTGTGTGTGGCCATCTGCTCTAGCTCCCACGCCTCTGGGCATGATCTCAGGTTTGGACCAGTCCTTGGCCATTGGTTGGTACTGAGTGCTTTATGAGAACAGAAATCTGTCATGTCTGAGCAGGAAGGAATTTGACACATCATTTGGGCTAATTTGCTTCTCATTGTACAGATAAGGAAACTGAGGGTCAGACAGAGGAGGAGACTTGCCAAGACCACACGTAATTAAGGACAAAGCCTGGATCAGAACTCAGGGCTTCTGCCTCCCAAACCAAGTGTCCTGAAAGGAGGCCTGGAAAGTGCTGAGTTTGTGGTCAGACCATCCTGGGATACAGTTCCAGCTCTACTGCTTACTGCTGTATGACCCTGGGAAGCTTCCTGAACTTCTCTGAGCCTTCACTTTCTTGTTTGTAATATTAGTGTAATAACAACACCCACCTGGAGGTTTCTGGAGGGTTCAAGGAGATGAAAAAATGCACATTTTCTAGTCCTGGATAGGGAGTTGTTGGTAATCTTGCACAGTTTTTTTTTTTTTTTTTTAATAGCTGTAAATGCACTGGCCACCCAATCCCAGACATTCACAATAACTTATATATACCTATGTGGTTCTATTTTTTGGTCTTTTGTAAGTTTATTGTTTTATTTAAGTGCTCCACATTTCTTTTCTAGTTAAACCTTTGGTTTAATATTTTTTGTTGCTATTGTGAATGAGATTGTTCTCATTACTTTAAAACCTGTTGCATTCTGGGAGAGTTTGGAGCTGGTAAAGGCGCTTTACAGTCCTCTGGTAGGAAGGTTAGGTTGCCTGAAAAAAATTTCTTTTATGGTTCCTATTTTGAGATTTTTTTTTGTTTTGACTACAGGAATAATACATTTTTTGGGGGTAGAAAAGTCAGAAAATACATACAAGAAAAAAGAAGAAAATAATAATTGTACTGAATTCCAACAATTGTATTATTTTGTGAATTGTATATTAATGGCATTTGCCTATTTTTGAGTTTTTAAGACCTTCCCCCCCCCCCATAATGATTAGGTAGTGAGGACATTGGCGCCTTAAGATCATATCTGTTGGAAATATTTTTCACAGTGATGTTGTTTTTTCTTAATTTTGGTTATGGTGCTTTTGGATGTACAGAAGATTAAAATTTTTATTAGCCAACTATATCAATCTTTATTATTTGTTTCATGCTTAGAAAGATCTGTGCCACTACAAGCATATAAAAATACTAATTTACAGTTTTTTGTATGTCTCTCATGATTTTATTTCTTTGCACTTAATTCTCCTTCACTTTGGTGTGTGTTGTGACAACAGGGCTCTGACTTTCTTTTCTTCCAGACGGTTAGCCAGTGGCCCCACATCGTGTGTCATGTAGTCCGTCCTCTCTCCTCTCATTGGACTTGCTGCCTTCATTCTTACTTCTTACTTCTGAATCTCTTCCTGGATTTTTCTTCTTTGACTGGTTATTCCTGAACCAGATTTACTTATTATTGTAGCTTTAAAATAAATCTTCACATCTGTGAAGGTAAGAACCCGTCATTGCTCTTCATTTCCAAAATGTCCTTGGCTCATCTTGTCCGTTTTTTCCAGCTAGAGCTACGTACGAATTATTTTGTCACTCTCCTCCTCCCCTCGACAGCAAAAACACCACATGGTGATTTTCACTGGAATTGCCTCAATATTATAGCTGTATTTGTGGAAGCTGGACATTTTTACAATAGTGAATCAATAAATCTTTTTGTTCAGGAATATGGTATGTTCTTCCTGTTAGTCAAGCTTATTTTTGTCTTTGATAAAGTTTTTTTTTTTTTTTTACACCTGCAAATGCACTAGCCACCCAATCCCAAACATTCACAATAACTTATATATACCTATGTGCTTCTATTTTTTGGGGTTTTGTAAATTTATTGTTTTTTTAAGTGCTCCATATTTCTTTTTTATTTAAACCTTAGGTTGAATATTTTTTCTTGCTCTTGTGAAGGTATTTATTTATTCTCATTACTTTAAAACCTATTGCAATTGCTAGTTATATATTTATACAGTTATTTTATTTATTGATCTCCTTATTTAACTTTCCCTGAGTTATATATTTTTTCGGAGATTCTATTGCATTTTTATTTATTTATTTTTCTTCCCCCCAAAGCCCCAGTAGATAGTTGTATGTCATAGTTGCACATCCTTCTAGTTGCTGTATGTGGGACGCGGCCTCAGCATGGCCAGAGAAGCAGTGCGTCGGTGCGCGCCCGGGATCCGAACCTGGGCCGCCAGCAGCGGAGCGCACGCACGTAACCGCTAAGCCACGGGGCCAGCCCTCTATTGCATTTTTAAATGAAGCGATATTTACTCTCAAAACATTTTATTGGGAAAGAATTTCAAACTTGTAGAAAAGTTGAAAGAAAAATAAAATGAATACTCATATATTCTCCACTTAAATTCACCAATTATTAATATTTTGCCATATTTGCATTCTCTCTTTCCTCCTCTCTCTTTCTCTATATATATGTATATAGACACATACATATACATGTGTATACCTTTTTTTGCCTTTTTTTTGATTGAGGTCATAATAGCATAGAACAATGTGAAATTTCAGTTGTACATTATTATTTGTCAGTCACCATATAAATGCACCCCTTCACCCCTTGTGCCCATTCCCCAACCCGCTTCCCCCTGGTAATCACTAATCTGTTCTCCCTGTCCGTGTGTTAGTTTATCTTCCACATATGAGTGAAATCATATGGTCTTTGTCTTTCTCTGTCTGGCTTATTTTGCTTAAATAATACCCTCAAGGTCATCCAGTTGTTGTGAATGGGACAATTTTGTTCTTTTTTATGGCTGAGTACTATTCTGTTGTATATATATCACATCTTCTTTATCCTTCATCAGCTGATGGGCACTTCGGTTGCTTCCACTTCTTGGCTATTGTGAATAATGCTGCAGTGAACATGGCGGGGCATAAGTCTCTTTGAATTGTTGATTTCAATTCTTTGGATAAATACCTAGTAGTGGGATACCTGGGTCATCTGGTATTTCTATTTTTAATTTTTTGAGGAATCTCCATACTGTTTTCCATAGTAGCTGCACCAGTTTGCACTCCACCAGCAGAGTATGAGGATTCCCTTTTCTCCACATCCTCTCCAACATTTTTTATTTTTTGTCTTGGTGATTATAGCCATTCTAATGAGTGTAAGGTAATATCTTAGTGTAGTTTTGATTTGCATTTCCCTGATAGTTTATGATGTTGAACATCTTTTCCTGTGCCTATTTGCCATCTGTATATCTTCTTTGGAAAAATGTCTGTTCATATCCTCTGCCCATTTTTTTTTTAATAATTTTATTTATTTATTCCCGCCCCCCCCCCCCCGCAAAGCCCCAGTAGATAGTTGTGTGTCACAGCTGCACATCCTTCCAGTTGCTGTATGTGGGACGCGGCCTCAGCATGGCCGGAGAAGTGGTGCGTCGGTGCGCGCCCGGGATCCGAACCCGGGCCGCCAGCAGCGGAGCACGCGCACTCAACCGCCAAGCCACGGGGCCGGCCCAGTACCATGCTGTTTTGATTGCTATAGCTTTGTACTATATTTTGAAGTTAGGAATTTTGATGCCTCCAGTTTTATTCTTTTTTCTCAGGATTGCTTTAGCTATTTGGGGTCTTCTGTTGCCCCATATGAATTTTAGGATTCTTTGTTCTATTTCTGTGAAGAACGTCATTGGAATTATTATTGGGATTGCATTGAATCTGTAGATTGCTTTAGGTAGTATGGACATTTTAACTATATTTATTCTTCCAATCCATGTGCAGGGGATATCTTTCCATTTCTCTATGTCATCATCGATTTCTTTCAGTAATGTCTTATAGTTTTCATTGTAAATTTCTTTCACCTCCTTGGTTAAATTTATTCCTAGACATTTTATTCTTTTTGTTGCAATTGTAAGTGGGATTGTATTCGTGAGTTCTCTTTCTGTTAGTTCGTTATTAGAGTATAGACATGTGACTGATTTTTGTAAGTTGATTTTGTACGTGGCAACTTTGCTGTAAGTTGGTTGATGGTAAGATGATTTTGGTGTAGTTGTTGATTATTTCTAATAGTTTCTGGATGGATTCTTTAGGGTTTTCTATATATAAAATCGTGTCATCTGCAAACAGTGAGAATTTCACTTCTTCATTGCCTATTTGGATTCCTTTTATTCCCTTTTTTTGCTTAATTGCTCTGGCCAAAACCTCCAGTACTGTATTGGATAAGAGTAGTGATACTGGGTACACAGGTTTTCTTCCTATTCTCAGAGGGATGGCTTTCAGTTTCTCCCCATTGAGTATGTTTTTGGCTGTGGGTTTGTCATATATGGCCTTTATTATGTTGAGGTACTTTCCTTCTATAACCATTTTATTGAGAGTTTTTATCATAAATGGATGTTGGATCTTGTCAAATGCTTTCTCTGCATCTATTGAGATGATCATGTGGTTTTTATTCCTCATTTTGTTAATGTGGTGTATCACATTGATTGATTCGTGGATGTTGAACCATCGCTGCATCCCTGGTATAAATCCCACTTGATCATGGTATATGATATTTTTAATGTATTGTTGTATTCAGTTTGCCAATATTTTGTTGAGGATTTTTGCATCTATGTTCGTCAGGGATATTGGCCTGCAATTTTCCTTGTTTGTGTTGTCCTTGTCTGGCTTTGGTATCAGTGTGATGTTGGCCTCATAAAATGTGTTAGGAAATGTTCCATCTTCTTCAACTTTTTGGAATAGTTTGAGAAGGATAAGTATTAAATCTTCTTTGAATGTTTGGTAGAATTCTCCAGAGAAGCCATCTGGTCCTGGACTTTTATTTTTGGGGAGATTTTTGATTACCGTTTCAATCTCTTTACTTGTGATTGGTCTATTCAGATTCTCTATTTCTTCTTGATTGAGTTTTGGGAGGTTGTATGAGTCTAAGAATTTATCCATTTCTTCTAGATTGTCCAATATGTTGGCA